AGAATTAAACAAAATATGTTCATCTCTAATGATGAACAATATAGTGAGAAAAATAAAAAGAGAGTTTTAATTGTATTCTTTAATTTTATAATAATTTATTTAATTAATATTAATTGATAAAAATTTAATATTTTAACTATTACATTATAAAAAAAGTATTATAGACATTACAAAGAATATTGATGCACTTATAATAAATTTTGTTAAAATATTTTCCCTTATATAAAATTTAAAACTGAATCTTTATTAAACAATAAAAAAATCTTATGGATGTACTATGCAGAAATTTTCTCAATAGAATAATTAATATTTGTTATAATAATTTAAAATAAATATATAAACTAATATTTTTAGATATTTTAATAGTTATAAATTGATAAAATTAAATAAATTAAACACACCTATACTATACTATTTTGTGTGGTCATAAAATGCACCAGTTACATCATTAAATTTTTGGCTCCCAAAATACCCGCCTACATGCCCGCAAAACCAGGATCCGGAGCAGTTGGGCTAAAATACTAAAAGTAAAAGGGCTAATTGGATATTTATTCTATTAACTATTTGTCTATTATCACTTCAGTTTACAAAATTTGTTTTCTAACAAATTGGTACAAAAACTTTAAAATTTGTTTTAAAATCATCTATCTCCTAAAGTTCTCTTAGTTTTTCTAACAAAATTTTACATCAATGATTACCTAGAACCACTCATATACCATGTGCCCCAAAAAATTACATCTTAATTTATAATCTAACTTTCAAATTTTATTCATTGGAATTTTTACAAGACTCTTGCATTGTTCTCTTTCTCTTTTAGGGTCAGAGTTAGAAGTTGTGGGTCTCCAATTTCAAGATCTTTCTCTGCTTTGGGATTTGCTCTCTTTCTATTTTCTTTAGTTTGAATGGAGCATATGGAAGAATATGAAAGCATTTGCCTTGTGGATATAAAGGCATTTGCATTTTCTTTCTTAACCACTAGGGTTGGTTGTGTTGAGGTGCATTCGGAGTGGTTGTGGCAAGGTTTCATTGCTGTTATTCTTGATTTTGATGATTTAAAAACCAAATGTAAATTGGAATATTTACTGATTTGGATTGAAAGTTAATTGTGAATATATGATTTACTAATTGTCAAATATTTAATTTGAATGTGTTTCCTTTTTAGAGTAAGTCCATTTAATTGTATGATATGTTTCCTTTATTATTGGGAAACCAAAAATGGAAAATGCATTCTACCGTATAATTCTGGTTTTTGAAGTATTTATGCAAAATATCCTCCAACAGTAAAAAGCATTGA